GGGGTTTCACCATGTTGACCAGGATGGTCTCGATCTCTTGACCTCGTGATCCACCCGCCTCGGCCTCCCAAAGTGCTGGGGTTACAGGCGTGAGCCACCGTGCCCGGCCATTTCTTCCATTCTTGAAGGTCTATGATGCAATGATTCTCCCTCCGTGAGCTCCCACACCCCACCCACTGCTCCTCTCCAGGCTCTCTCTCCTGTGGGGTCAGGCTCCTCTCTCCAGAGAACTTCAGGTGTCTAAGGTATGGGGCCAGATCTTCCCATTCATTCACTCATTCATTCAGCAAGCCATTCTGGATACCCCTCTGTGCTAGGCACTGAGGCCCCGATATCAAGCGGACTGGGCCTGCCTCAGAGGAGTTCACAGTCCGACAGGAGGAGCAGATGTGCCAATCAAGAGCAATAACCAGTGTGATTTGGGCTGGGACAAAGGGGACCACAGGGACTGTGGAAGCCCAAAGGAGACACTTTAACCTAGTGTGGGAGTCAGGGAAGGCTTCCTGGAGGAGGTAACACTTGAACTCTGCATTAAGGGATGAACACGGGTTTTCTGGGAATGGAGATGCACAGGGTGAAGGCATTCCCTAGTGGGGGCATGGAAGTGCGTCCCTGACTGGGACCAAGTGGGAGCAGGCAATCCTGGTTGAAGGCCCTGGAGAATCAAAGGCATGGAGTCATGAACGTACCTGGTGTGAGCAGGGATGGCTGAGCTTCAGTACGGCTGCAGAGAGAATTGGAGTGTGGGGGAACCCCTGGGAGGGGCAGCACCGAGCGGGTACTCACGGCACAAGCTCTCGTCCTCATCCTCGCCGTGGGTACAGGTGCGAACGCCATCACAGACCCCACTGGCTGGAATGCAGCTCCTCTGGTCACGGCACAAGAAGCCTGTCCTGTTTGTCAGTGTTGTACAAGCTTGGGCTCCTGAATGGGCAGGGGAAGGCCCTGGAGGGTCAAGGGTGGTGCTCACAAGGGCAAACCTTCCTCACCTGAGCTGCACCTGGAGCTGGCTTGAGGGGCCGGGCAGTGGGGAGGATGGACCCAGCGCTGTCAATGGGGTTCAAGCCCCAGCTGTACCCCCTGCCTGCTGCCTGACCTTGGGCAGGTGACCTGACTGCCGTGAGTCTCAGGTTGACTGCAACATCATAGCACACACTCTGTGCAACTGTTGTGGGGAATAAATCAAAGCATCCCTGTGAAGAAACACAGAGCAGGAAATGCACGACAAGTAATGGTTCTCAGGAAGTGGGGGGAGAAAAAAAAGTAATGGTTCTCTCCTTTACTGAAAACTTATAGACAGTGTCACAGGAAGCTTCTGAGGACAATGTTCCATTCAGTGAAGCGGTTTTAATGGTGGAGCTCCTGGTACCAAGCTACGGTGTCAGAAGCACTATATTTGGGCTGGCTGGAGGACAATACGTCATCACTCCTTCTATCTGGGCACATCTGCAAAGCACTTCCACATCTTTATTCTATAGCTCCCCAAACACCCCTGAGACATGTTCTCATTAGCCCCCCATATGGGAGCAGGAAAGGAATACCCACTCCTAGGGCTGCCACAAGGAATGAAAAGACAGAAAACTGGCCGAGCCTAGTGGCTCACACCTGTAATCCCAGCACTTTGGGAGGCTGAGGTGGGCAGATCACTTGAGGTCAGGAGTTTGAGACCAGCCTGATCAACATGGAGAAACCCCGTCTCTACTAAAAATACAAAATTAGCCGGGCGTGGTGGTACATGTCTGTAGTACCAGCTACTCAGGAGGCTGAGGCAGGAGAATCACTTGAACCCTTGAGGCAGAGGTTGCAGTGAGCTGAGATTGTGCCATTGCACTCCAGCCTGGGCAACAAAGCAAGACTCCATCTCAAAAAAAAAAAAAAGAAAAAATCCTGCAGACAAGGTAGGGGTGGGGGAATGTCTTGGCCCCACATGTGTATATGTGTGCATAATTGGGGTTGGAAGTTGGTTTGTGCATTTGTGTTTGCACATGTGTGAACCACCTCTCAGCCCCTGGGCTGCCTCAGCTAGTGTGTGTGTGGGGGGGCGGGGAACTCCCAGGGACACTCATGTTGACACAGACACACACAGATGCACACACACGCACACATGCTGACACACAGACAGCTGCACCTACATGCACACTCACAGATACACAGACAACAGATATGCACACACACACACCAACACGCACACTCTCGCACAGACACGAACATGCATCCACAGACACCTGCATCCACTCACAGACGTGCTGAACACACAGAGTGCACACACAGCCTCAGGACTGCAGCTGCTCACGTATTCGCATCCAGTTCAGGGCTGGTTCCTGCACCGGCAGGCAGAGCACTGTGAATCTCAGCCCCCGCCCCCACCTCAGCCGTCTACACCCACCCTGCCCAGCGGCAGAGCCATCCCTCCCGGGTGCACCCTGTGAAGCCCTTGGCACCTGGCCCCACTCGTCACTCCAGCCCTTCCTGTGCGCTGGCCTCTTGCAGTCCCTCCTTCTCTTCCTGCTCCTCCCACCCCTCAGGGCTCCACACGTGCGTTCCCTGTGCCTGGGATGCTTTTCCTGGCATCCCCCCACGACGAGTACTCATTGTGCCTATCCTGACTCCTCGATGGGGCTAGACTCTCAGGGCTCCCAGAATCCCGCTGTAACGTGTATTCATGTCTAGATTGCTCTCCAAACAGTTAGCTCCATGAGGGCAGGCACTGTGTCCCAATTGTTCACCCCGGAGCTGGGGCTGCAGGCATGTGTGGGAGGTGACCCTGTCTCCCTGTGGTGGAGATGGACACACAGATGGCTAGCACCACCCGCGGGATGGCCAGGCCTGGGGAAGGGGAAGTGTAGGGACTGTGGGGCTGAGAAGAGGTTCCTAACCCAGCCTGGGGGTCCAGGAAGGCATCCTGGAGGAGGTGACATCAGAGCTGGGTCCTCTCAATAATCATGTCACAGATGTGCAGATGGAGGCTGAGAGACCGGCATAGTCAGTGTGTGTGTAGGTGTCTGTGTTGTCTGTGCATGCACCTTAAGGAATTTGTCCTAAGTCACCTGGTGGAGAAGCCAGGCAGGTCAGGGCTCCCCCGTCTCTCTGTGTCCCCCATATCCTCCCCGCTGGGTCTGACCCACCCTCTCTTGGCCATTCTGACCTGGGGTTCGTGATGGGAGTCCGAGCGTGGTGACCAAGGCGATGAGGGCGGCCAGAGTTGCCAGGAGGAGCAGCAGAAAGGCAGAGAGGCAGGCCCCGCGACGTGAGCAGCAGAGGGGGCCGCAGCCTGCTGCAGAGAGCGGGGAGGGAAACAAGCCCGGGGGCGGGGGTGGTGTTGTGATGAGGGGGCCAGCACTGGGAACAGGAAACCCTCTCCCTGCCCTGCCCCCTTCGAGCAGCCCCTCCCCCACCAGGGTGAGCAGAGCCGAGAGGGCTTCCCTGGAGGAGCAGCTCCCAAGCCCCGCTTGATGCTCTTTGTTCTGCCTGTGGGCCCACCCCACTAGGTGCCACCCTGGCCAGGGACCCACAGCTGGCTGAATGGCAGAGATGGACAGCCCTCCCTCCCACTCGCCATCAGGAGACCTCCTCAGGACGCAGGGAGAGACGGACGCCTGCGTGTCCAGCTCCCACCACGGAGCAGATACTCCATCAGGCCCTTCATAACTGTGGTCTTTATTTTTCAAAACAGCTTTTTATTTGATCTATGAGGAAACTGGGGCTCAGAGAAGAAAAGGTTCAGGTAGCCCCAGGTGGAGCTGGCATGTGAATCCACACCTGTTTGATGCCGAAACCCGTGCCCCTTCCACAATCCCAGCTGACTGTTCATTCTGGAGTCTGCTGGGATGCAGGTTGGAACCCCAGCCCCACCACTTCCTACCTGAGCCACACTGAGTAAGTCACTTCACTTCTCTGCATGTGGGAAACGGGGGCCATAACAGCCACCTTAAAGTTTCTTGAAAGGATTAGAATTTGTTGAGTTAATGTGTTAGAACAGTGCTTGGCACATAGTAAATGCTGATTATGAGCTATTATTATTGCTTTTTAAAAAATTGGTATTTTTTTATTTTAGAGATAGGGTCCAGCTCTGTTGCCCAGGCTGGAGTGCAGTGGTGTGATCATAGTTCACTGCACCCTCTAAGTCCTGGGCGCAAACAATCCTCCTGCCTCAGTGTCCCAAAGTGCTACAGCAGGTGCGCGCTGCCGGGCCCAGGCTGCTGTTGCTTACTCAGGACTTGCCATGTGCTAAGCCTTATTCTAAGCACTGGAAACAGCAGTGATAGGGGACGTCCCTGCTCTTGTAAAACTGTACTTTAATTCTCCTTTAATTCTCTCCTGCTTACAAAATAATAACAGAAGGCTTTACTAAGGACCTCCCGGTGCCCCGCTGGGTGGCTCCAGTGCTGGTCCTTGCCCTCGGCATCTTGTTATTGCACTTAGAAGGCAAAGCATGGACATGTCTAAGGAGCGTGGGAGCTACTGACTTGCCCAGGCCACAGGCACCTCAGAGAAAGGGGCAGGGTCAGGTATGATTCATCCCTGTGACCCCAGGACCCAGCCCAGAGCCAGGCACATGGTGGGGGCTTTTGTTTTTTGGGTTTTTTTTTTTTTTTTGAGACAGAGTCTCGCTGTATTGCTCAGCCTGAAGTGCAGTGCCATGATCTCCGCTCACTGCAACTTCTGCCTCCTGGGTTCAGGAGATTCTCCTGCCTCAGCCCCCCCAAGTAGCTGGGATGACAGGTGGCTACCACCACATCCGGCCAATTTTTGTATTTTCAGTAGAGATGGGGTTTCGCCCTGTTGGCTAGGCTGGTCTCCAACTCCTGACCTCAGGTGATCCACCCACCTTGGCCTCCCAAAGTGCTGGGATTACAGGCATGAGCCACCGTGCCAGGCCCGGAGTTTTGTGAACACTCTGTGAATACGTGGGCCCAGGGGTCCAGGAGACAAGGGAAGGCCCCCCAGTATGGGTCAGTTATTTTCAATCCATTCACATTTCTGATGCAGGGTCCTCAGAAGCAGGGTGGGATTTCCACAGGCAGGTAAGGGAAGGGTGTAAAGAAAGGGGCTTCCAGGCAGAGGGCGTGGCAGGAGGAAAGGTCTGGTGGTTGCAGGTGGGGGAGCGCAAGTTGCCTGGCGTGGCAGGGCTCCAGGATGGATGTGCATTGGGAGGGAGACGACGGCAGGCGAGGCAGCAGAAATCTAAAACCCGTCATCCCTACAGCCCTAGCTGGTGGCTCCGTGGCCGTCAGCAAACAGGGTAAACTCAGGTAACCAGGGAGGCAGCATGACTCTGGGCAGGGAGAGATGTCGTGGTCAGCCAAGCAGCTCCTCAAATATTTGTGCAGCACCGACCACGCGCAAGATGTTGCCACGGGAGAACCGGCAGAACCAAGGCTCCTGCCCAAGTGAAGCTGTTGCGCTTCAAAGCCAGAAAGTCCTTAGGTGCCGGTCCCTTCCCTGCACGGATGAGGAAAAGGAGGCTATTCTTGCCACAACCACACCCGTCATGAGTCAGGACTTGGAAATAACGAACACCGGTATGCAGCAACAAAAGTCCTGGGGCTTTGTAACCAGAGAGACCTCAGTTCACATTTGAACCCTGGCCCTCCAGCCTCCCCGCTGTGTGACCTTGGCCTGGTTACCCAACTTCTCTTAGTTTCAGTTGCCTCATCTGTGATTGCCCCATGACAGGGCCCCTGTCTCAGAGCTGTCCCGGGGATTAAAGGGGTCACGCGGTGCCAGGCACGTAACTGGGACTGGATCCTTTATAGTTGGTATTTTCATCTACCTCTCTGGGTATGTTTCCTCACTGATCAAAGGTGGGCCAAGCCAGGGCATATGCAACGCTCAATACATGTCTGTTTCTTCCTTCTTCTATCTTCAGAAGAGTAAAGAGAACTGTCCTGGTCACACTGTGGGCCAGTGGCACATAGTAGGGCTAAATAAATGTGTCACTTTATCTCTCAGAGGTAAAGAGAATTGCCCAGGTCACCCACTGAGTCAGGAGTTTGATGCTGTATTATTACAGGTGGGCACTGTATGCAGTTTGGTGCCTATGAGGTCGGCAGCACACAATAGGTGCTTAATAAACATGTGTGCATGGAGAGAATGCGTAACCCTATTTAGCAAGTGACTGTCAGCATGGCTGACCAGGAAGCTGGGAGCAGACAACATTAACATGGGGCAGAGAGGTCTGAGGGGCAGTGGGAGCCTTGAATCCTCCAACCTTCCTCATGCCTCTACAGCCAACTGCCAGCTTCAAGGGAGCCCTGCAGGGCACCGGCCCTGGGCCCTTCAGTTCTTTACCTTCCCCTCCAGGGATGGCCTTGGTTCCAGCAGCAACGCAGCCATTCTCTCCCTGCCCAAAAGAACAGAGTCAGGGGTGGTCTTAGGTGAGGTGAGGTCCAGCCTCAGGGAGGCAGACAGCAGGGTTTTCAGAAGGGGTCACCGAGAGTCTTAGGTGGCACCGCGGCTCCCTCACACCCCAGCACGCTCAACGCCCCGGATGCCTCATGCCCGCTTCCCATTTCCACACCTTTGCCTGCACTGGGCCCTCTGTCTGGGATGCCTTTTCCTCTGCTGTCCACCTGGCAAATATTCATCCTTCAAACTGGCGTGGGCAGCGACTCCTCGGCGAGCTTTCCCTGATACCCAGTAAAGCTGACTCTTTCCCTTCCTGTCCACCTGGCTCCTCTGTGTCTGTCCCAGCACTTGCCACCTGGACTCTATAGCTGGGTCACTGGTAGGGCCCCCTACACCCTGGGAGTGAGCCCTGGGCCAGGGCGGGGGCTGATTTTCCTCCATGTCGCCCACGTACGCCCACTCTACTGCCCGCTCCTCATCCCAAGGCTTGATCTCTCCCAAGATCAGGAGCCTGGTCAGGGCAGCCCTTACCTTGGGGAAGATCTTGTTCATGTCTTCGGCTTCCAGCTCCCCGACTGGGGCTGTGTGCAGAGAGCTCAGCATCGGTTCCCTGCCTCGTCACCAGGGGCGGCCTGGAGGAGGGACAGGCAGGAGCCTTGCCTGGGCTGCACCCTCCCTGTGGGCAGTCCCCTCCCTCCCAGCTGCCTTCCAAGCAGAGGCAAGGGCAAGAGGTCCCTGCTCTGGTGAGGCTGTTTCCTTCTCTGCCATCTGACAGCAACACTGCAAGGCTGGAATCCTCATCCCCGTTCCACAGATGAAGAGCCAGAGGTTCAGAAAGGGAGAAACTGCCCCAGGTCACACAGTAGGTGGGAGGGGTGAAACCCAGAAGCTTTTCAGGAGTGCTTTTTCCTCCGCATCAGCGAGGGAACCGAAGGAGCTCAGGTTCCAGGGGTATGAAGATGCAGGCAGAAACTCCCAGAATTAACATTTCAGTGGCTAGAAAGCAGGGGTCATTTTCTCATTGCTGTTCTTTCAGTTCAACGACATGGGTAATCTAGATTGAAATAATATGCACTTTCCACTAAAATTATAAAGCCAATATAATTTTAAATTATTTTCTTTAGACGCGTGGGGCAGTTTATCCCTTTCTGAACCTCTGGCTCTTCATCTGTGGAATGTGGATGAGGATTCCAGCCACATAGTGTTGCTGCCAGATGGCAGAGAAGGAAACAGCCTCACCAGAGCAGGGCCCTCTTGCCCTTGCCTCTGCTTGGACAATTTTTTTGTCCCTGAGGTGGCACCCGAGGTAGGGAAGAGAAGGGGGGCTGGTTGCTTGCCTGAATAACCCCTTCTCTGCTCCCAGTGAGTGGGTTTCCCTAGCAACCTGTCCCACTGCTGAGTAAACCTGGAAGCTTGAGGGACAGGTCCAATGACCCAGACCAAGAAGGGAGAGACGTCTACCTCCAGAAATGAGCTCCAGATTTCTAGGGAGGATCCCCTTTCACCTGCCTTTGATGCCCATAGATTTTCCAACCTGCAATCAGCCTTTTCTTAGATCCGAACACTATGCAGCCATAAAAAAGAACCACCCTACTCTATGTTGTTATGCAGCTCCTTTTAAAATATACCGGTCACATGGATTTCCTCCCTTATGAATTGTCTTTTCATATCTGTTGCCCATTTTTCTGTGGGTGGCTTGTCTTTTCCTTATGGATTTACGGATTTCTTTATGATGGATTTGAATCATTTGTTACCTGGGTTATAAATATCTCTCCCAGTCTGTGGCTTGTCACTTCTTAGGATGACTTCTGCTGGCTCCTTTAGCTTTCTAAATCCATCGTTCTTGCCCAGAAGCCTTCCTTGCCTTTGCTATGCCTATATTCTTTATGTTCTGTGTCTCCACCTTAGCCTGGCTTTGGACATGAAATCAGCAAACCCAAGCTTGAGTCAGACCGACCTGGGTTTTCATCCTGACTCTGCCAAATTAAGACCTATCTAATTGAAGGTGGCAAGCTTCAGACTCTCTCATTCTGTTTCCTTATTTGAAACGTGAAGATAAGAATACTCAATTCAAAGAGTGGTAGCTGGGATTAAGTGAGTGCACGTATGTGAAAGGGCTCTGCATCCTTTAAGGGTGAAATATTGTTTCTGGATGCCTTGGTCTGTGTCCCATTACAGAGATTGACCTAGGCACCTGAGAGATCTGCTTCTAAACCTGCCTAGAGGTGAGGCCCAGACGCTGCCTCAGCATAAATCACTCCTTCCCTATCCCTCCCACAAGTCTGGGATCCTGGCTGGCTGACTCACCTCTCTGTTTTCTCAACTATAAAATATATGTGTTAAACCCCATCCTGCTTTCCTAGATGGCCCACTTATAAGTGAGAACATGTGGCGTTTGATTTTCTGTTCCTGTCAGTTTGCCAAGGATAATGGCCTTCAGCTCCATCCATGTCCCAGCAAAGGACATAATCTTGTTCTTTTTTATGGCTGCATAGTATTCCATGGCGTATTTGTACCACATTTTCTTTATCCAGTCTGTCTTTGATGGGCATTTGGATTGATTCCATGTCTTTGCTATTCTGAATAGTGCTGCAATAAACATATGTGCATGTGTCTTTATAATAGAATGATTTATGTTCCTTTGGGTATATACCCAGGAATGGAGTTGCTGGGTTGAATGGTATCTCAGACTTTAGCATTTTAGGTCTTCAAGGAAGACACTGTCTTCCACAATGGTTGAACTAATTTACATTTCCACCAACAGTGCATAAGCATTCTTTTCTTGACCATTTAATAATAGTCACTCTGACTGGTATGAGATGGTATCTCATTGTGGTTTTGATTTGCATTTCTCTAATGATAGTGATGTTGAGCTTTTATTTGTATGTTTGTTTGTGACATGTATATGTTCTTTTGAGACGTGTCTGTTCATGTCCATTGCCTACTTTTTAATAGTTTTTTTTTTTTGTAAATTTGTTTAATTTCCTTATAGATGCTAGATATTAGACCTTGGTCAAATGCATAGTTGGCAAATATTTTCTCCAGTTCTGAAGGTTGTCTGTTTGCTCTGTTGATAGTTTCTTTTGCTGTGCAGAGCTCTTTGGTTTAATCAGATCCAATTTATCAATTTTTGCTTTTATTGCAATTGCTTTTAGTGTTTTCATCATGAAATCTTTGCCTTTGCCTATGTCCTGAATGGAGCCTAGGTTGTCTTCCAGGGTTTTTATAGTTTTAGGTTTTATACTTAAGTCTTTAATCCACTAGATGGATGTTATAAGAATCCATTTAAGATGACATATGAGAGTGCTACAATGGGCTTTGCAAATGTCATGGGGAATCAACAAACCCCATTGTGAATTACCTACGTAGACACTTTTACAAGATAGCATTATTATTTAATGCAGATGATCCAAGTTTTATTAAAGTTTACATACTTAAGCATAAAGAAATTTACAGATTTGGAGCTCCAGTAATGGTGGCAATGATGGTGCACCCGGACATAACATTATCAAGAGCTTTTGTTGAAATCTTTCATTTTCAATCGGGTGCTTATTTTTTTCCAACCAAGTCTTCAATTATTGCTGTTCTAACACTGCAAAAACAATTTGAACATAAAAAGCAGAAAAGAGGCAGTAAAATATGCACAAATAATTTAGAGTTGAACAAGAAAACAAAATCATTTACTCTTAAAATGATAAAAGTAAAATTAAGCCAACCTCTAAACCAGGGGTTTGGTGAACTTGAATAGGAAAAATTTTAAATCTTTCTTTTCACCAACTTCTAACTGAAATATAACATTTCCTTTGATTATGAATATAGGAAACAGTCCACACACATTAGGATCAGAGTACCTGTGACTTTGTCATCAGTAGAAATGAGACATTTAGATATATTACAGTTGTTAGATATTTCAAAATATTAATTTGAAATTACAGTAGTTTTAGAACCACCATGCAACCTTATTCCGTGTTAATAAAGTACATGTTACTGTATCATAACATTTTGAAAAGTATCTTCCCTTTATTTGAATATGATCAGTTTCCTTTGTAATCCTTTACATTCAGTTTTACGCATTTGAAAACCTTGCTATAAGAGGGATCCACAGGCTTCACTGGATCACCAAAAAGTTCAGTGGTACAAAAAATGTTCAGAACCTCTGCTTGAAACAAATAAGTCATTAATATCATAGGAAGACAGTACTTCATAGTGAAATAGGATGGGCATGGTGGTTCACGCCTGCAATCCAACACTTTGGGAGGCTGAGGCAGGCAGATCACCTGAGGCCAGGAGTTTGAGACCAGCCTGGACAACATGGCAGAACCCCATCTTTACTAAAAACTACAAAAATTAGCAGGGTATGGTGGCGTGCACCTGTAGTACCAGCTATTTGAGAGGCTGAGGTACAAGAATCACTTGAACCTGGGAGGTGGAAGTTGAAGTGAGTAGAGATTGTACCAGTGCACTCCAGCCTGGGCGACAGAGTGAGACTGTGTCTCAAAAAAAAAAAAAGGTGAAATATATGAAGCTGACTTCAACAGTAAGATTTCAGAAAAGGTCTAAAAACTGTGGTTCAGAATTTAATTACCACAAGGAGTTAGAAAATCCACACTACAATCCAGCTTCCCAAACAGAAGACTGCATTTCCCACTATCCCTGTCTTTATCACTGTACATACCCCCACCCTAGACACTAGTGTAGGACAGATAGTCAGGAAAGAGAGGTTAAAACAGTCACTCATGCAGATGATAGCCCAAATGCAAATATGACATGCTTAGCATCTGGAAACCTGGTGGGAGGGGCGCAAGAGCACGCTGGGTTCCTAGAGATTGGCTGGCAAACCTAGAATGAAAGGACAGTGGTAAGAAGCCAGGTATCCATGGGGCAGCCTTTCCAGTTTGCTTGGCAACATTCAGACTGTGACCAGGTCTCAGAGACCAGTCCTAGGTTTACCATGTAGACAGACAACAATGTGGGGGAACAGAGAGAGCATTCTAGAGAAAAGTTTAAAACTGTAAGTAAAATGAAAGGAAAACAGTATTCTTGGGTATTAAAAAAAAGAACTCTGAGGCTAAGCTTATTGTTGGCCCCTGGACTTGCCCTCTCTGGTCTATCATCCACGTTGCTGAGTGAATCATTCCAACACTGTATGGAACACTCTTGCTGAAACTTTTTAACAGCTGTCCGCTGTGCTCAGGTTCAAGTGCAGGTTTAAAAAGGTCCTTTATTATCTGGTCTGCCTAGCCCATCTTTTGGTATGCTTTTGTATGCTCTATCTTGGCCTCCTCAACAATCTGCAGTGTCCCACCCTCTGGCCTCTAGGTCTTTGAGCACAGCGTCCCCACTGTCTGGTACACTGCTCTCTGTATTTTGCTTGGCTTTCCCTTTTTCTCCAGGTTTAAGCTTGGCTATCACTTTCTCCCAGAAGTCCTCCTATGTGCTCCCATAACGCACACAGCTCCAACTATGTGTCTGTGCTTACCGAGTCACAGCACTTTTCCCATTAATAATAGTCTCCTTTAGCGTCTGAGCAACTGGAGTCAGGCGCTGGGTCTTACTGTGGTCCTAGCATTTAGCATAGGGCCTGCTGCTCAGGCTCTCAAGTGGTTGCTGAATGGTTAAACTGTGGATC